ATGAAAATAAATAACATGAATTAAATATATGAATTTTATTGAACAAAGGTCAATTAAATGAATTTTGACTCTGTCAAAGTCAACCACCCAAAAATATGATGTCAGAAAAAGTATTACAAATAAATATGAAAATTATATCATTATGTAGAGTTTGACTGTCTGATCGCAACGGTGCAAACGGAATTCGATTCGGAGAAAGTTGAACCAAAAAGTGTACCCCGACTGGAACCAAAAATTGGTCCCAATCAAGGACACTGTGCGAACGGCGCCTCCTCCTCCACTCAGCCGATTCCTACGTAGAAGTAGCTCAGCATTGTCCTCTTCCCCTTCATCAACTCCTATATAAGGAGTACTCAAAACCTTCAAACATGCATCATTTTTTTCTCAAAATTAGTCCATAAGAATCCTGAGAGTGAGGAGAATGGTTTGGTGTTGTTGATTGTTGTTGAAGTCGCCGGAACTAGTCACAAACCTCGCCGGAAATTTCGCCGGAAAATTTCCAAAAGCTTCAATAGGCTTCAAGGTAAGCCCGTAGATATATCTAAAGATTAGAATGTTCATATAGGTTGTTTTTACGTTCATAAATGGTCATTTGGTTGAGTTTGTGTTTGACATGTTTGAAGAACCAAGAATCATAAACCTTGAATTTGATGTTAAAAATATGTTTTAATGATTCTAAAATGATCTATGAACCTTGGAGAACATTTCTATATAGTTTAATTGAAATTTGGTAACTAAAATTGATATGTCCGAAAATGGACCGAACGTAGAAGACGATGAACAGTGGCCGAAAATCGATTATTTACTTACTAAAAATCGATTAGAATTTTATTCAGATCAGTGGTTCAAAGTCAGTACCATTTAATCGATTATTTAAATTGTAAAAATCGATTATTATGAATTAATTGATTATTTAAATTGTAAAAATCGATTATTATGAATTAATTGATTATTTAAATTGTAAAAATCAATTATTATGAATTAATTGATTATTTAAATTGTAAAAATCGATTATAATGATTTAATTGATTATTTAAATTGTAAAAATCGATTATTATGAATTAATTGATTATTTAAATTGTAAAAATCGATTATTATGAATTAATGGATTATTTAAATTGTAAAAATCGATTGTTATGAATTAATGGATTAATTAAATTGTAAAAATCGATTTTTTTATGAATTAATCGATTATTTATAGTGGAAAAATCGATTATAATGAATTTATTGATTATTTAAATTGTAAAAATTGATTATAATGAATTAATTGATTATTTAAATTGTAAAAATCGATTATTATGAATTAATGGATTATATAAAAATATATAAATCAATTTTTATAAATTAATTGATTATTTTAAATTATTTTCCTCAATTCCAGATGAAAATGTTCCTAAAAATATGCTCTAAAATCCTAATTTTGATACCAATTAATTATGCACAATATAAATATGATTTTGTACAATAAAAATGATGTTTGTGACATATAAACATTATGTGATGCATGACGGTAAGTTCGGGTGTTAACATTCGAGACTAGGCCGTTATTTGTTATTATGCATTATGACGATTGTTTGATTATTGACTATAATGAATTAATGATGATGAACGTTTTGAATGATGATCATGAATTGTTAAAGTGAAAATAATGAATTAATGAATCGTATTGTTAAGGATATCTAGAATAACTCTAAGATATACCCACTTGTATATTGATGATGATTATTAAGGATATCTAGAAGAACTCTAAGATATACCTACTTGACCAATTCATATTTCGGGTTAAAACGTACGTACGGGATCCAGACCGGATATCACCCACCCGACAAATCATTGTTCGGTTGGTACGTAATCCACATGACTCATAGGGTGGATTATCGATTCTTGTGTTCTGCATTAAACTATTTATAGTTTAAGGGCCTGGTTAGAAATGTTGCCTTAGACTAGGAATAGCTAAGAGCTTGTTATAAAATGATTTGGCCTTAGATTAAGATTAATTTAAGAGCATTATTGATATATTGAATATCAAATGACTTGGAATAAAATATTGAAAATATTATGAATGTTTGAACCATATATTGTGTGCATGATATCAAATGGTTGATTATG